TCTCTGTCTCTCCCTCTCTCTGTCTCGCTCGCTTGCTGTTTTAGCGGGGTTTTGCTCGAAGTATCCGAGGCTGCTGATGCATTCCATTCTGAGATGTCCTCAAGGAAGCATCGTGCATTTTGGTTTGAAGTGTGCGAGCTGGGTGCTGACAAGTGCGGGCTCAACAGGCAGGCGCCTGTTGTGTCCCATGGGTGACACAAGCAAGTTTAGTGTACAAGAAGGAAACATGATGGTCAGCCGGCTGCTTGCCTTCACTTGCAAACTTCGGTGTTTAGTTGATAGGGTAGCACGGCCACCACACAGACAATGAATTTGAGGTTCATCCTGTTGGCCTATATGGTGATGGCTTCCCGTGGTACGTGGACACTTGAGCAACCCGTGAGTTCGCTCATGGTGCATCACCGGCGTTTTCGTGCCTTTGTGCGCCAGTTTGCGGCTGCTCGTGCATGCACAACATCACACGCTACAGTCATCTCAGATATCACATGTGCTGGGCTGTGTGTCTGTGCACAACTGAGGTTTACAAGCAGGCATTCTGGATGTGGAAGATGGGCGGCCTGTCGCCTAAAAGAACGGTGTTGTACAGCAATTCCAAAAACTTGCATGGTTTCAACAGAGGGAGGCTCTCCCGAGCCAAGATGATGAAAAGCAGCCGGAAGCCCATTAAACTTGTGAAACGCTCGGTCTCCTTTGGAGGGAGGAAGAAATTCCATGGAACGAAACGATTGAGCGACTCTCAGCTTCTTGGTTGCATGCTTTATTGTGTGTTTCTTGGTTACGTGTGTGTGATCCATTAATAAATTCTGTCCTGCTTCAACTGCAGGGCCTATCCACTTGGTTTTGCACTCCGCTACCTGCAGAATATTGAATCACTTCGGGAGCGCAACTTCCTCATGTATGAGGAAGAAGTGGAGGAAGGGCCCCTGAAAACCATGTATATGATTACCATTCTACCGCAAGACCCCACCCACGTATTGCTGCAGGTGCCTGTTGGTGACATCAACGGTGTCTGGCTGACCCAGCTGGATTGGAGTGACTTGTGGCAAGATGCCCGGATGCCAGAGGTCATTCGTTACTTGTATGGATGCAAAGACTTGCTTGTGAAGCTTCCTGAGCCCCTTAAGGACAAGGTGGCTAGTGGCCTAGCATGTGCAGCATGAGCCAGTTTTGCTGTATGGGATCTATGCATCGGAGCACTTTTCGGGAAAACTGCCACTGTGCACTGCTGCATAGGGACACTTTTCAACCCTTTTTTTAACGATTTGGGTTGCTTTGGGTTGGTTTTTTGCTGTTTTCCTGCAAAACCGAAAAACGTAAAGTGGCGTAATTTCGCGTAAAAGTTGCGTAAAACAGCGTAAAGTGGCATAATTTGTGTTTGGTGTTTTTTGTGCCAATTTTTGTCATTTTTTTCACCTTGCAGTGCCACTTTGCACGAGGGATTCAGGATCAAGGCAGGCCGGATGGCTCTCAAATCCAGGGTGTGGAGCTGTGCGACCTTGCTCGACGGCAACGAAGCCATGGAGCAACAGAGAAAACGTGTAAAGGAGGAGAAACTCGACTTGGGTTCCAAGCTGAACGCGGCTTGTCGCGATAATGCATGCATGTGTTTGTGCTTGTGGTCGTGTGAATTATAGGTTTCGTGCACGCATGATGTAAGGCGGCTCAATCTCGCCTGGAGCAGTTGAAGCTTATGTACAAAAAGAAGGCTGCTGACCAGAGAGCGAAGCCTGTGGATCCGGCCCCGCTGGACTCTAGCAAGGAGGCTTCCACGGTTTCCCCTCCCAGCTTGCAGACTTCAAGTACCCAAGCCACCCCGCCACGTGCCACCATGGAGCCAGGCAAGGTGAACCGAACCCCGCCCCGCAGTGTCAGTCTCTCGCTGAGTGAGAGGATGTTTGGGTTTGGGTCCAAAGAGGGTAAGAGTCCTGAGTTCACAGCAGCTCGGATGAGGAGACAGGCTGGTGATGTGTTTGATGGTGATGCATCACCAAGACGAAAGTTGTTTGATGACGACTACTCACAGGATGCGCAGCCGCAGTGGCCTGGTAGTCCTCAAATTTCCTCGCCAGCCCCTTTCCCATCCCCAAAGCCTAGCCCCAAACCACCCTCTCCAGCCCCTTTGCCATCCCCAAAGCCCAGCACCCCACCGCCCGTTCACCGCCCGACCCCAAAGAAGCATGCTGACGTTGAGGCCTGCAGTCATGCACGTTTCATGCACGTGTGTTGCATCATCGATCATCTATACAGGTTGTGTCCTTGCAAGTGTCGCCCGGAAGGAGATGGCTGATGAGGATCTCCAGAGAACTCTTTTGGAGAGTGTGGGACGCAAGGAGTCGTGTTGATTATGGCACACAGTCGTAGCCAACCTTTGGTTTTGTCTATCTTGCTCAGGACCGACCGCAGGGCATGGACACCACGCCGGTGCCACCTGGCCAGAAGAGCCCGCAGGAGGAAAGCAGTTCCCCCAGCCCTTCCCAAAGCAGCTCCCAATCCAGCTCCCCGAAGCCCAGCCCAAGCCCCCAGCAGAGCAAGCCTTCCAAAGGTGACAAGGATTGGAACAACACAGTGCAAAGGTGAGGCGCTTGTGTAACCCAACGACCAGGCGTTCTGGTGTCAAGGTTTCCGATGAAGTTAAAAAAGATGGAATGGCACAACGGCGCAGCGAGATCATCTAATCAAGGTGATGATGGACTGCATGGGCGACAAGGAGCATATGAACAAACTGTGTTGTTGCTGGTCGTTCATGAACGGGCTGGTGTTGGTATGCTATGCATGATATACATATGCATGTATCTGTCCTATCTGTTCAAGCTGCATCTATGCTGTATGTATGTAAGGTAGGTACATAATACATATATTAAAGGAAGGCTCAAGGTGTGATTTATATGCTTACATGCAGAACTATGTAGTAGTATTACGTATATATGTATTAATAAATATTTTAAAATGGTTGTTTAACACCCTGTGTACATACAGAGTATGTATATATATATATAAACATATCTAATATATATATATATATAGCGATGTATGAGTGATGTATGTTATATGTATGTATATGTCACACACACGATGCTCTTAAGACATCCTATTCTGATTCGGAGCAATGTTTTGGCTCCTATTCATAAATGCTACATTCTATTTTATCGTAACCTCGCAGGAGATGTTTGTTCGGGCGGCCGAGCGATTTGTCAGACGGGAAGCCAGGAAAGGCTGCATGACGGTGGTTGCCGGATGGTACTCTGAGGAAAGAATGACCAAAGAGTTGAAGTTTGCCTCGTTTCTTGCCAGCAGGTTCAATCATGACCATGTCTGAGCATAATTTCCCTAAGCCAATCAACCAAGGACCCGCATCAAGGCGGTCAAGGCTTTCTGTGAGAAGCACCACACCAAGAAGCGCAAGTTGTGGAGGATTGTTTTGTTGTCTCGTCCCTTGTTGCATGGCCATTCTTGTGCAATCTTTCTGTTTTGCAGGAACGACAAGTATGAGGAGCAAAAGAAGGAGTACTGGGTGCAGGTCTCCGAGGATGGTACCTTTACCCTTGAGAACGAGGATGTTTACGAGAAGGAGTTTCATGGGGAGGATGCAAAGGAAGAGCGAAGGAAGGCTAGGAGTGGTGCTGTGAATGAGGCGTTGCCGCCGCCGGAGAGCGCCTCCGATTCGGATTCAGAGTCGGGCTCCTCAGAGTCTGCCTCTCGGGACAAGAAGAAGGGTAAAAAACGCAAGAGTCGCAGCAGCTCCTATGCCCGCAGCGCCAAGAAGTCTAAGAAGAGCAAAAAGGACAAGAAGACGCCAAAGACAAACAAACGCAAGAAGGACAAGAGCACCCCAAAGAAAGGCAAGAACGACAAGAACACCCCCAAGAAAGCCAAGAAAGACAAGAGCACCCCCACAAAATCCAAGAAAGACAAGAGCACCCCCAAAAAATCCAAGAAAGACAAGAAAGACAAGGGGAGCCCTCAAGCAGAGGTTGACTTGGAGGACCTTGGCATGATGAACCATTTTTTTCTGTGCTTTCTTTTTGTGCAACCATGTATACTGTTGCAGGATATCAGGAATGTCCCGACGGTTTTGGATCAGTTGCTGAAGACGGTGGGCAAGTTGCAGAAGCTTTCTCCCAAGGTGGAAAAGGTTAAGACCGAGGATGCCAAGAAGCATCCTGTCGTGGTGTGGTGTTTTTGTTGCTGTTGTGTGTCCATCTCCAGTGCTATGCTTCATTGTGTTTGTGAATTGAGGAGTGTGGCTGATCTGGCCAGTACCATTCAAAAACTCATGGAGCTTCATGATGCTATCGCGGAGATCAAGAGCCACTACAACGGCCACAAGACCATGTCCAAAGAGACCCCCAGAAGCAACCCAAAGATGTGTCGCACATTTGTCCTGTGTCTCACTATAGTCGTTTGGCTTGATATTACAAGGAAAGTTGCGGAGCTCAAGCAGAAGCACCAGGAGGTTGAGATGGCGTGCAGGGCTTGTTTGCAATCTGCTAGCCCGAACATGCAGACCTGCTCCAACATGTGTGCGTGTGTGTATGTACATGTAACATGTTGAGGTGCACAAAGGCAGTCATGACCGAAAACAAGATCCGCAAGTAGCTTGGCTGCATTCCCCGATCGATTGTTCATAATAGTCATAATATACACAAGGTGTATCTATACCAAATTCCGATGTGAATATATAAATATCTATGTATTCAAAAACACACACACACACATGTACATGTACTTGTTTTCCGGCCATCCATGTATATTCAATCTTTGTCAAAGCAATGTATGTATGTGTATTATATGTCCGTGTATGTGTGTATATGTATGTATATGTATGTATATGTATGTATAGGTATGTATATGAATGTCTATGTGTATGTGCATGTATATGTATGTATATGTATGTATATGTATGTATATGTATGTACAGGCATATGTATGTATGTATGTATGTATGTATGTATGTATGTGTATGTATGTATGTATGCATGTATGCATGCATGTATGTATGTGTGTATGTATGTGTGTGTGTGTATGTATGTATGATATGTATGATATGTACGATATGTATTATATGTATGTATGTATGTATGTATGTATGTATACGGATATTGTTATATGTTTGTATATATATATATCTGGTATGCATGTATGTACACATCTGACCACGAAGTCCTGATTGTTATGTGCATGCATGTGTGTGCGAGTGTTTTGCTTATTAGTTGTACATTAAATTAACTTATGCCAGGCGCTTTCAAGTCTCCTTCGTTGTTCCCTCTGACCCCTCTCTCTGTCTCTCTCTGTCATGTGCTGTCTCTCTTGTCCGTTTTCGTTCACTGTATCTCTTAATTCTTCCTTCTCGAGATGTCTAACTCGGTTTCTATTTTTGTGTCACTCAGGACGATCCTGAAGGGTGGGAAGTGCAGGCCCAAAGGGCAGGCAGACGACGAGGATGAAAGTGACGACGACGAAACCCCCGCCTCTAAGAAGCCAGTGGCCAAGGCTAAGCCAAAGGGTAAGGCCAAGGCCAAGGGAGGAGCCAAGAAGAAGTGATCAAATGTAGCATTATAGGACTGAGTGCTATGTTAAAAAGGCACAGAACCCAGCTGAGTCTAGCATGTGGATGGATCACGATCTTCTTGCAGTGTTTTTTGGGTGCCGAGTGCACCGGGGAGCCGCAGGTCACATGCTCTGCGATGATAGATCAGGTTGCGGGGATTGGGATCCTGTTCGACTGTTTAGAATGTCGAGCGGGCAGTGCTTGTGATGTGAAAAAAAAACATGTCTGTGATCTGCTCAAGCAAGTGATCTGACAGACCCAATCCTATCTTGGAAGCCCAGCCCGACCTTTTATAATATGTTGATTAGAGTTGCCCTTGCGCAGGTGTGCGATCTTCTGGACCAGCAGCTCGGGCTTTGGCGAAAGCCAGTTCGAGAGGTGTGCCTTTGGTATGTTTAGTCGTATGCTTCCAGTATGTACGGTGTCATTTGGTGTGGTGTTAGTCTCGTGCCATTGTTGGTGTGGTGTTCGTCTCGTGCCATTGTCAGTGTATCTAAGGTGTGCCATCGATTGGTTTGTGAGCTAGCTCGAGGCTTCTGGCAAGAATACAAGCAAGCTGTTGGAGATAGTGATGATGATGGATTGCAGAGCGGGGCCATTCTCAGGGAGATGTCTCGCCGGAGCGAGACACGCCACGAAGCTCAAACCGAGACCCTGTACGAGAGAAAGGGGCTTAGTGCCCCCATTCAATGGTCGTTTGTGGACCTGCCGGGCATTCCTAATCATCCTTGGTTCAAAGTTTCCAGCTTCATGCGAGCATTTGTAGAACAGGACAAGCTTGGTTTGCTCCTTGGGGGATCTGTGGACTTCAATGTTGTGGAGGAATACTGGGAGCGGTATTACCATGTGGATCCTTCTCACAAGGTATTCTCCTTGCCCAAAGAAGCACGAAAGTTTACCATACCGATGGCTCTGTATTCAGACGAGGGACAAACGCTGAAAAAGCAAGCCATTAACATTTTGGCTATTCAGCCAGTTATTGGGAATGGGACGCGTCTGTATCAGCAGCATCGAAAAGACGACTCTGCTATGGGTGCCAATTTCGCCGGCTCTACATACCGCACGCGTTTTCTTCTTTCTTGTTTGATGAAAGCCAAATATCGGAAATCGCCCGAGACGTTGGATGAGCTTGTGCGTGCGGTTGTGATGGATTGCAATTTCCTGTTTGAAGAAGGCGTGGGAATCCAGCTTCATGGGCAGCAGCAGTCGCTGCGTGTGGCCGTTGTGGCCTTCAAGGCCGACTGGCCGATGCTTGCGCGCATTGGCTACCTCGAACGGCACTTTGGCAGGGTTGCGTTTGGCAGGAAGAAGCTTGGGATCTGCCACTTGTGCAATGCTGGGCAAGAGGGTGTGGCCTACCACGAATGACAAGAGAATGCTCAGTGGAGGCGAACCCTTCTAAAGGATTCGCCTTTCAGCCGTGACGATGGACCTCTTGCACTGCTACACCAAAGTGCCACGAAAGCACGCCTTTTCATGTATGACATGTTCCACACGTGCCACAAAGGCGTGTTTGCTGAAGTTGCGGGCTCTGCAATCGAATCTGAGAAGCACCTATATATATAGCATTTTTTGGGGTTTTCACGTTTCGTTTGTTTTATACACATAGATTCTCACACTATTCATGCATATATGCATATATATATATAGTATAGATCGGTCAGATAGGTGGTTCTCCTGGATGAGAAATTGGCGGGCACCGGCAATGTTGATCAACGTTTGGACACCCTTTTTGGTCGCTTGGAAAGTTTTTGCCGGCGGAACGGTTACAGCAGTCTGCACATGAGCAAGCTGACAAAAACTTTGGTCCATTACCCCAACGAGAAGGAGTACCCTTGTGGGTTGCTCGGTGTTTGTTGTATGCTTGGCCCAAAGTTTGCTATGTGTAGAATATAGTACATGTATACTGTATACATGTAATTGGTTTGTCGTTTCCTTCGTAAAGGTGTTCAAATTGGATTTAGGACATGGTTCAAAGGAGGCGACACAACGAGTGTCATGGCTTGGCTGGAATGTGTTTTCCAAATCGTCGCTGTGGAGAAGGCTTGTCAGTACATGACTGCCATTGCTCAGACGATCCGCTGGGGCAACGAGTTCCTGAGGCTGTTGTACAGGGGAGGCTTGTGGCTCACCAGGGCCCAGGCTTCGGCTGTTTTGCATGCTGGTGAAGAGTTTGCTCGCAATTTCATGTTGTGTGCACAACATGCTCTAATTAGAAGACGCCTGCGATTCAAAATATCGCCAAAATTTCATGCATATGCTCACTTTTTGTGTGATTTACGAGTGCAGCTTTCTACCCATGCTGCATGGATTGCCAGCCCTACGATGGCAAATTGCCAGATGGACGAGGACTTTGTCGGCCAAATATCGGCTTTGACGTGCTTCGGTTCTTTCAAAAGAACCCACAAGACCACTTTAATGCGATATCTTATCCATTTGCAAGAGCACTGGTGAAGCATAGAGTATGCATGCATGCATGCATGCACATATGTGTACAGGCATATATAGCCTGAAGCTGTGCGGTGTTTAAACACTCTCGGCAGTGCTCTCTTTGTCCCTCGCTGTCTTGAGAAAGGGGGGCGATGTGCGAAAAGATGACATGAGTGATATCGCATTTCCACGATCTTGTACTGTGGGTATCTACTATTAACTAACTTAATGTTGAAGATGAAACCTAAAACCAGCAACTTTTTCAAAGTTGCGCCTAAACCCAGCAACTATCGACCTTTCGAGGATATTAGTGGCAACTAGGTTTCCCAGGCATGTAATGGTTGTGGGGTATATGAAAGGAACCCAAGGAACAGTATCAGTATTCATTATTCCAAACCCATGCGTCGATGTCGTCGCGCGGCTTCTGTACGTCCTGCACCGCAGAGCAGTGGCTGCAAATCCGAAAACACTCCAGTCGTGGGAGATCGATTTTGGTGGTCGGAGGTCTGGACCGATTTTTGTCAAAACCTTGTGACAACAAGGAAGCGGCAAACCTCCGCTGGTGCATGTACCTGCAAGATCCAGGTCAACACCCCCCAAGTCTAAGCCCTATATTCGAAGACCTATAACACAAAAGCCTTCAGACCAAATCCTAACCTCAGATTATCGAGGTCGTGCACTGAATATACGGCACAAAACCCTAGTCTAACAATTCAAGCCCTCACTAAACCCTTAAACCTAAATGCCTTATAGAAACCTGCAAAGGAACCCCTTAAAGGGGGCCGTTCTAATTCTTAAGGCCCCCTACATTAAACGCTGAACCCTATCTCCTTTATAGAAACCTTTACAGGGATCCTTTAAGGGAGACCAAGTCGAACTTTCGAGGCCCTTCTATTCTGGAACAACTAACTATTAACTGTAGCCCCATGCCATAACCCTAACCCTCCAGGTACCCACTATATAGGGCCCTAGGGGCTCTAGTACCCTATATAGTAGGTACCTGGGGGGTTAGGGATAAGATACCAGCCGCTGCAAGGAAACCTACTCTACATCTGAAGGCACTACTACAGTATACTTAACCCAGTCAGCCAGTTGATCTCAAGCCTTGCCAAAGCGTCCGGCGCCAGGGCATTGACGTCTTTAACCTAGGGACCTTAAAACCCAAAAATAATATACATATAATGGTAAAATAAAAATAATCGCGAATAAAAATAACAGTAATAATAGTAATACCAATTATATCCCATCGTCCGGGGAGTGCTGCCCGGAGCTTTGGCTCCAGTCCGCCTCCTCAGGGCGCACACTTTGTGGACCGGCCGGCAGGGGGCGATGGCTGAACTGTGTCCACTTCCCCTTGAGTTCTGTGGTCTGTGGGTGAGCATCCGGAACCGTAGAGGTGCGCTGCACTTAGTACCTGCAGAGGGATCTATCGGGAAGCTTGCTAGGCCATTACGGCGCCTAGCCATGCAAAGCCCGTCGCAGAACGACGTGGTTTGCTCCGCCGAGTACCTTGGAGGGGGACCTCCTTGGGAAGAGCTTTTCGTGCAGGGCTTCTGCGAGCATGGCACGCTGTCTTGCCCCCATGCCTGTCTGCCGTTCTTGGTGGTGCAGGTGGCGGGCTTGCCTACAATATGGCAGGCTTGACCTCTTACCAGACTGGGCCTCCGGGTGGAGGGGGTAATGCTGTGTGGGGAGCCTTTTGAGAAGCCGGGAGGGATGACGCCTGAGGCATGGCCCCACTCAAGGTGGAGGTCGCAACTCACTCACTCACTCACTGACTCACTCACTCACTCACTCACTCACTCACTAATACCAATCGTAGCCATAGTAAGAAGATATTAATAATGATCAGAATAAGGTTCCTTTAAGGGTTCCACTGTTGGTTTTTTGAGGGTTCTATGAGAGAGGGGCCTCAACGGTTTTGATAGTGCTCGGGGCATGCAGGACTGTCTGATCACTAGTTCCTACGAGCTCTACATTCTCCGGTATGAACCCTAACCCTAAACCCCAAACCCCAAACCCTAAACCTGAACCCAAAACCCTAAAACCCCAAACCCTAAACCCTGAACCTTAAACCCTAACCCCAAACCCTAAAACCTGACCTTAAACCCTAAACCCTAAACCCCTAAACCCCAAACCCTGAACCTTAGACCCTAAATCCTGAACCCCAAACTAGCATAGCGGGTTACAGGACCTCCGAGTCTCAACTTGCCGCGGCGCGCCTTCGTCTGCTGGCGCATCATGGCGCACACCGTAAGGGACGAAGGAGCTTCAGCTACGGGGTTGAGGGTGCATAGGGTTTAGGGTTTAGGGGTGCAGGGGTTTAGGGTTTAGGGCTTTAGGGTTTAGGGGTTTAGGGTTGTAGGGTCTTCCCGGTGCTCTGCGCTGCGGTTTTGGGCTCGTAGGCTTGGGGCTTCACGGTTATTAGGGGCTTCCCGAAAGGGGGGTCTTCAGGACTTCCACGTCGGTTATGGTGGCTTTGGCATCGGGCCAAGACAAAGAGTCAATGGGCTTAAAGCCCCAGAGGTCCATCTCCTGGTGCGACTCCGGTCTGTAGAGGCCTAGTCTGTTGCCGCTTTACCCTCACAAAGGAAACCACATCATGGCTCATGCACTTTGTGGGGGCTTGAGGTTGGTATGGTGTGGGAGCGGCAGGTGAGACAGGTGTTCGAGATTGAAGCTTGTTGCAGGGGCTTGCTTGGCAAACCTGGCTCCAAGATAGCTTCTATCTACATGTAAGTGCATATATATATATATATATTTATTTATTTATTTTTGAGCTCCTCCCTTAGGGGTGGTTTAGTGCAAAGTCCTTGCTCCATGGTCCATGTGCACATCTGCGATTGGGCCGAGCATTCGCAATATTGGCGTGTGAAGATGTGCGCATGACGCCACGGATAGTAGGGTGAGGCAACCCTAAACCCTAAACCTTAACCCCCCTCCCCCCCCCCCGCCCCAGAAGCATCTCAACACCTAACTTCAAACCACACGCTGAAAGTACACTACAGTCCCAAACCCTGCAAAATTGAATTTCGGGTTCATGGCTTATGGGTTTTGGGGAGTACGATTATGATCCTTTAGCTACAGGGTTTAGTTCCTGAGATTTAGGATATTCGGAGGTGAGGCTGTCCTCACTGTTGAAGCATGCATTTTGAGCTAGCTCCTGTGAAGTCACGATGCTGGGGCATCTTTCTGACAAGGGAAACCACAGGCGGACAACGAAAAGGACAACCTCTGTAGCCGTCTTTTCAGAAGGATGGATGGATGGACGGATGGAGGGATGGATTGCTGCCAAGATCATGATGCTTCTGATGCTACAGTCCAACCGCCAAGGCAGCCCCCTCGTCTCGACCCTGCACCAAGCAAACCCCGAAACCTTCGCCCCTGAACTTGGAGCCCCAAGGCCCGAACTCATAGCCCGAAGTCAAGGCTAAACTGAGCAACTGAGCCTCGGCGGTGGCAATTGCCTCACAGAAACAGCAAGGGAAAAAAAGGGTTAGGGCCTTGGGGTTTGCTCAGGGGCTCTAGAAGGCCTGAGGACTTCGAAATGCCGAGCGCAGTCCTTATCTGCAATGGCGTATAGAAACAGAAGCAGTGCAGCAGCGGTGGTAGCACAGCTTAGCAGAGCCACATACCAAACCCGGCTACCTTACCCCTAGACCCTGAACTGAGATAAACCTGGAACCTTAAACTCCACAGGTCCGAATCGCAGAAAAAAGCTACATACCCTAAACCCTAAACCTATGTGGCCTGCTTCTGCAGGAAGTTGCGCTCCGCCACGAGGAAGTTGCGGCCTTCTCGGAACGGCTCCTGGACCCGGGCTTCGCATCGTGACCATGTTTGGCAATAGCGGCATAGTATACTATACTCCTGGAAGATAGTATGATATGGTTAAGGGGGGTGGTATACTAAAAATCTTATAGGCCTTAAAGTATACT